ATATATATATAGATATATATATATATAAATGTTATGCCAGTTTACGAAATGAGATCATATTAAACACTCTATCACTTTGTCAACACAAAATGGAAAAAGCTCAGGCAACTAAGTACAAAGTTGAGGATAAAATCTACATTGCTACTTGAAATATCTAGAAGACTGTAGTTCACTTCTGTTTCCCACCAAGCTATCAACACCTTGGTTAAGTACTTACTTTGCAGTGTCAGCACCACTTGTAATAAGAGTGTTGATCAGCAGCTCATGGCCATACCTTGCTGCTATGTGCAAAGGAGTGTTTCTATTTTTATCCTCACAGTCAATTACAGCTCCTGCAAATTTAAAGGATGTACTATTATCAGACTCTGGACTACATGATCAAGTCAAATCTACTACATGGAAAGTAATGTACAATGCTATTCAAGCATAAACCAATCGACATAGCAATTTAACTAGATTTCATTCAGAGCACATGTATTGGGCCAGGTACTGGGGTTACATATGGTATACTTGAAACAATTTTGTGAATTGAGCATAAGATTTTAACAGATTTAAAATGACAAAAGGGTTCTGGGGTACTGTAAATTTGGAAACCACCATCGTAAACAATAGTAACAAATTTCTTCAGAGCAAGACTTCTCAGAGCTTTAAAATGCACACTGGATGTGTCATCAAGAAGAACACACACAATGCTTCAGGAATTACTTGATCATGAACCTATTTCTACATTTTCCCTGCAAAACCTTAACAGCTATTATCTTGAGGACACTAACTGAACACTTCCTTGGAACATTGCTTAGAAACACTTTGAAGTAAAGCACCTGGAAGTTTCTATTTAAAAGTTCAGCTTGCCTAGCACTAATTCAAATGCAAAAGAATACTAGTTCAGAAAATAAATGAAAATCCTAAAAATAGTTTAAAATATTCAGAAGGGGAAAAAAGATAAACGCAACAGAGTTTTTAAAATACATAATACAAACTGCAGTGGAAAGGCAGCTTTCTACTTAACAATGCTTAAGAAAAGCCAATTCTAACTGCTGGAGAATTTGTATTACAATCCAGGGGAAACAAACCAAAAATAAACGAAAAACAAAATTATCAAAGATACAAACAGACTGCATTTTTATTCTTTGTTATTTGATTTTCATGTGATTAGAAACCAAATATTAAAATTATTCAGACTGTGATGACAATTTCTCAATACCATCCATTTTGTGCATGTTTTTTTTACTACATTTTTTTACTACATTTAAGGAAAAAAACAAATAGAAATACTTTTTACCACTCTGGATAATGGTTTGTGATCTGGAGAATCTACCATGGAGGGCAGTCATGTGTAGTGGGGTTTTCCCATCTTTGCTCTGAAATAATCAAACATAGGAGACTTAAACTTATTTTTATATCCATAAAATGTAATCTTTAGTTTTATTTTCATTATCCTCTTACATCTTTATTTTGTGTAACTATCACTCATGCATTAAGTTTAACTGAAGCCTACAGAGGTAAAACAGCTGTTCCAAATTATGAACTGATATTTTTGTAATGTACATCATGAAGCACAAATATACAAAAAAAACCCTCACTGCGTATAGTTAATCAAAAAGCTCTGTGTTGTAGATATGGTATAATCTTAGTATGATTTTTATTTCATCACTGGGGAAATTGAAGCACAAGGATATTAAATGATTCAACCAAGGTCACATAATCAGGAGTGATACAGCCAGGATGTGCTTCCCATGTTTCAAAATTTCACATTGTTACAGTTCTTTCATTCTAAGGACTGCTGAATCCCTCTCTCCACCAGGGAAAAGTGATGTCAGAATTAACTTCACCCACTATAATTCACTTTAAAAGCTTTATATATTAACTTGTTTATAATTATTTGTAATAAAAATATTATTAGCCAAATTCTCAAATTACTTAAAATAACAGACCAGACTAGCTGTGCATGTTGTATTTAATATAAAAATTCTGAAATTCTGAACTAAGTTCCAAATATGAAGAAAACAACATCTGACTTAGGTGATACCTTTTATATTTTGAGCTAGCTAAAGTCTTTTCTTCCCTAAAATTTTTGGGTTAACCAGAATACACGTGACCCTGAAAGTAAAGAAATTGTTCAGCAGTTCCTGATCCCTAGCAAAATTCAGCCTATCTTCTGTGTATATATTCAAAATTGAAATGTGATAAGGGTCCTAAGTTCACACTGAAATTGTATAATGCAGATCTCCTTAAGATCCCCTAAGTCATAATAATGGAGCATTAGACCAATAACGTAAGTACCTATCTAGGTACTTGTTTCCATAATTTTTCAAAGATTCAATTAGCAAGTTATCTGAAAGAATTTTAATCTTTTGGAGGCAATGTTTGCACAGGAGTAGGAAATAACAACCAGCAAGCAAGTGAGCAAACAAGCTCAGGCTCTTGAATATGAATCCCAGCACTACCACTACCACTACCACAGCAAGACTTGGCAGAAGTTGCCTCAATTCTTGAGACTTTACTTCCTCAACTGAAAATGGATATAATGCCACCTTTGCCTCAGAATTGTACAGAATAAATCTAATCAGTCTTTGTAAAACAGCCATGTAACTAACACACCAGTGTCTGCTATAAAGTATTATTTCTATTTGGTGTTTTATTTATGTATCAGTTGTGATTCTTTCAACCAGGAAATAAAAACAAAACAAAGAGCACAGAAACATTTTGACACAGATTTCAGTTTTCAGAGTCTTTTCAAAATGTTCCCTATGTAACATATGTTGATTTTCAATGTTTTTGTTTGATTTTTATTTTAACCTTTTACCTACAGTCACTTCTTACAAAAAGCAAAATAAAAACAAAAACTAAACTGCAATAGAAATTTGAGTTCATACGATGAAATTTGAAATACAATTATAGCTAACATTTATATATATGGGAAGCAGTATGTTCCTGGTATCATTGAAAAACCCTTCATATAGTCATTTTCTCACAACCCTGTGAGATAGATGCAATTAACCCTATTTTATAGACTCTGGGGTTAAATAACATGACCAGGTCTCATAGCTAGGAAGTGGTGGAGTCCTTTATGATAAACTGGTAAGTGGCACTGGATTAACATTTTTACTTTCTAAATACTGACCATAAGGACTATTCTAAATATACAAAGGAAAAAGATTCAGAAAACCAACTGAGAAGTCCACCTTAAAAGATCTTTTAGCAGGGGGAAGGGCACATTTATTTCTCTCTGAATTGGGAGCGTTGATGGGTAGATTTTTTTCTTAAGTTACCTTAAATAATTTACAAACAAATCAGAAGTTTTAAATAATAAATAAAAAAAGATAAACCAAAATTTGAAGATTTGCTTTCACAGGGAACCAAAGACAGAAGCCACAACAAAAAAGCCACAAATATCCCAGTGATTTTTACATTTAAATTTTAAGTCAAGTATTTGGGTATTTTATTTATGTGACCAAAATTTTTATTAAAAAGAACAGGGTGGAGTAGTAAAAAGTATGCATGGAAGTGACACAATGCAGTGGGGCTCATGTGAGGCAAGGTTATAAAAACCAGCCCTCCAATGCTTTTTAAACTCCATTCATTTTGCCTCTATGTTGTACTCTGTAGGACAACTGATTAAAAAACTTATAAACTAAATAATTATAAACCTAAATTCACATTCCAATTTTTAGTCGTCTGTGGATAAAATGAGAGTTTCTGTGGCCAGGATTATCACTGGGCCGTGGTTGACTAGCTCACTGCACACCTGTGGGCAATACATGGCTGTTGACTCTATAAAAAGAGCTCCGCCCAGTGCTCTGCGCCCGACACGGTGGCAGGCCCGCAAGGCGGCAGGAGAGCAGAGCAGAGGCTGGAGTGGTGGCAGCGCCAAGGACAGAGGCCAAGATGGCTGTGGGACAACTGTGCAGAGAGAGGTCCAGAGGATGACTGTGTGGGACGACTGTGCAGAGAGGCCCAGAGGATGGCTGTGCGGACAGAGGGACCCAGAAGCAGACATGGGCTTGCTGCATGCAGACTCACTCTGAGTGAACGGGATTTTAGTGACCGACCTGCCACTGTGAGAATAAAGTTTGGTATAACCCTTTCACCCCAAGAACGTTTTGCTGTCATTTTCTTTGGTCACATAGAATCCATAGCAAACTTGCCTGGGGCTGAAACCCATTGGCAAGACATCATCCATAACTAGGACAAAGACAGAACATCAAAATGGAGAGGTGGGTAGGAGGAAATGCTGAAGCAAGGAGAACATGAGGGCTAGCAAACATAATTTTTTTATAATAGAAGGTGAGTGTTAAAGCCTTAGCTCCTTAGTCAAGTGACAATTTGATAGGCACCGATCTGACACATATAGGCAACAGGTGTCAGGAATGAAGGTCTATTCTTGAATGTATATGCATTCTTATTGATTGAAAACTCACAGCTACTAACAATTTTCATATACTTTCAGAGCTGGAAGGTACCTGAGAAGTCATTAACAACATGGGAAATGTACTGTAGTAGAAGCTGGCAATAAGATAAGGGGACATCTGCATATAAGTGGGATGTTTTACAATCTTAGACAAGATGAAGGCAACTTTTATGAAATCTATTTTTAAACTAACATCATAGGCTGTTGCCTTCAAATCTAGTTCACCACATCTTAACTGTTTTGTTAAAATACTCCCTTGTCTTATGTAAAATCCACAACTGAATTTTGTAAGTCATTAAGGAGGTAACTTGAAATAGGGCCAGTGGATTTAGCATCATAAGCAAGCCTCTTGTAGGACTGTTTTTACATTTCAAAAGAAAATACAAACTTAAGAGAGACTAATTTTTTTTTTTTAATGTTCAGTTCACTGGTGTAATTCACAGTGTTGTGCAGCTATCACACCACTCTGTGTTTCTAAAACTTTTTCTTACCCCAAATGGAAACACTAACCATTAAACTTGTTAACTAATTGCTAACTCCTGGTAATCTCTAACCTACTTTCATTAAGAGAGACTAATTTTTACCCCTTGAAGACAGCACCATATAATTTAAAAATGTGTAATAACTCTATATAGGTAAGCTTCCTGTATTCCATGATACCTAATATTCAACACAAAAAGATGATTTTGATTACAGTCACTTTTCATAAACAGGTGTCTGTCACAGACTTAAAAAATTTTGTTGTGACCTTTTTTTGAGGAATGTTGAGATAATTCAAACATTTTCGAAATAGCCTAATCTTCATTAAAAAATATTGCTAGGTCTTTGAGGAAACAAGAACAAATTTTTCTCCCCAAGTGAGTTTTTTCTGGGCCCAGGTTATCCAAACAACAGGAATTCTTCAAATCAAAATAAGCAGTTCAACTCTTAATATCAATAGATTTCTAGTAATAAACTATTAAAAAAATTTACTAGGTGATTTGATTGAGAACTGAAAGCTTTAAATGTGTATTCTTAAAAGAGACAGTTTAACCATAAGTGTAAGTAAAGGTTCTTATGAGACCTCATGCTCTTTCCCTCCTTGGGTGTGATATGCATAAATTTTGTCCTTTAGCTGGGAGAGGGCAATTTAGGGCAATGACCTACTTATAGATGGACTTGCTGCTGTTACAGCTGCCAGAGTGGGTCATGGCATTATCAAAAGCTTCTCTAAAGCTCAGAGAGGTAAGGAAACAGACTCCTTTCTCTACTAGTCTGAAAGACACTGGCTCATCACACCTGTAAAAGGATGCAATCTTTTGTAGCTAAGGCTTTGAGACCCACATTTTAAGCTTAAATGTTTTTACTAGTCCTAAATGGCTCAATTTTGTTTGTGGTTTTCTTTTCTTCATACCACAATATATGGTCTGGTAAATGCTCCAAGAATGAACTGATGAATTAGTACAGAAGCAATCAGTGAAAGCATCTTAGAAAAATCTAAAATGATGCTTATACATTATAAGGTAGTGATGTTCAAAACTGGTTACATATGCTATTTTCACACAATTACACTGTCAAAGTACATTTATTTTGGCTCCAGAATTTTCACATATTTCTAAAATTAAAATAATCTAATTTTTGGACCAAAAATCCAAAAGCCACTATTCCTTATATGCAACACACTGATATTAGTCTTCCATTTTTTTAACATTGTGAAAAATTTCAAAACAGAAAAGTTGCAAGATTATTACATTTAATACCCGTATTACATCCCACCTAGATCGTACCAACATTTTACCATATGTGCATTACCACATGTTGATCTCTCCACCCATTCGCCCAATTATTTGATGCCTTTCAAAGTTAGTTGCAGGCATCATTATGTGATCACTTCTAAACATTTGGTATGCATATTATTAGCTAGGGTTTGACGGTGGTTTGTTGCCTTCTAAAGGAAAATTTACATGCAATTAAGTGTGCAAACCTTAAACACAGTACTTCATGAGTTCTGACAAATGCTTATTTGCAGAACATAAAGCCTGTCAAAATACAGAATATCACCATCGCCCCAAACTGTTCCATGATGCCCCTTTCTTATCAATCCTCCTCCCAGAGGAAACTTCCCCCCGCCCCCTCAACTATAAAATCTGGAACCCCATATAAATGGAATTTTGTCTGTTTTGGAACCTTACACAAATGGAAATAGTATATGTATTCTTGTGTAAGGCTTTCACTCAGCATATTTTAAGATTCATCTGTGTTCTTGTGTGTATCTGTAATTTGATCCTTTTTATTACTGAATTGTTTTAAATACTGAACTCTTACATACTATAGTACGGATTCTGATTTTGTTCCATACCTTCATATTGACATCAGCTCCATTGCCTACTAGAAGCTCTAAACACAATGCTCCATGTGTTGATGCAGCAGCAAAGTGCAAAGGAGTAAATCCTTTTTCATTCTTTTGATTTACATTAGCACCACAGTCTATAAGTTCATTCACTACAACATCTTGTCCATTATAGCAGGCTACATGAAGAGGTGTATTTCCATAGGCATTTGGTTCATTCATCTATTGGAAGAAAAGTCAGTGTTAAAGTTGTCTTGCTAATTATAATTATCATTGTTGTGAGTTATTTTAGCAGTGTGGTTGCAACAGTTATTAAAGAAAGAAACACAGGGATAATTACATAGACAAGGCTTATAATTCTAAAATTCTCTTAAAATGATGAACATTAACAGCTGCATCTGGTTAGATGAATTTTGGACATTCAGGGAATATAATTCACATATACAATGTCTACTTTATGACAAAATTGAATGACTCCAAGAGAGATGCTTTAGGAAAATTAAAATTAAAATAATGTATTTTAAAAAGTAAAATATACTAGATAAGGCACAATTACACAATTAACTCTAAGAATCATGAAAAATGAACACAAACTGAAAATTCTGAAATATATTTAATAACGTGCATATTTTCAGCCTTTTTGCTTGTAGTGACAAAAGATTATATAAAGTTGGTGATGAAGTAGAGACTAGTATTTTTTTTAAAAAGTGGCATCCTTTTCTATATATTTTTGCAACACACTTGGGCTCTACATATTTTCCAGTCTTACATGTTGACATTTTACCAAAATAAATGTGTCCAAAAAAAAATAGCTCCATATTGAGAAATAATTCATGCAAGTTTTTCTACTTCTAATAAGTAAATGGGTGAATACTTGAAAGTTTACCAGACTTTTGTGTCTAAATAATTTGACCTTTGCCCAGAGAGACATCTTGCTTTTTGCCTGTGTCTGCTGGTAGGTCATCTATGAACTACCTGACAGCACAGTTCTTGTTTAGGATGGAAGCTGGCTACACTGGATCTCAGAATAGCATTGGCCATAGCCAACAGCTTTAGGGTAGGGGTTGACCACACCATATAAAGCAACCATGTGATTCAGAAATGGGGCTTTGGGTCCCTTCGCATCAGAGAATTTAGAACTTCAACCTGTGGGCAACTGATTTCTAGCAATAAACTATTTTTATTACTATCATGCTTATGTAATGGAGCTCCAATAAAAACTGAACATAAAGCTCAAGCGAGTGCTTCAGGTTGGGAATACTATATGTACATTGTTATTATCGATGCTGAAGAGTAAGGAGTCTTAACTCCATGGGCAGAAGACAATGGAAGCTTTTTGCTAAGAACACTCCTGGACTCTGCTCTATGTGTCTCTTCCTTTGGCCAATCAGTTTGTATCTTTTCTGTGTAATAAACCACAACTGTGAGTATGATAATTTTTGAGTACTTCTAATGAATTATCAAACTTGAAGGTGGTTTTGAGGACCCCACCCCCAAAAATGCAGTTGGTCAGAAATAAGAGCAGTCTTATGTGCAGACTATGCCTTCTAACCTTGTGCTCCAACTTAGTACAACTTTAACATTTTCTTTTCTGAGATCCCTGGTAACAGAAATTGGAGGAAGTGAAAAAGTAACACTTAACTTTAGTCAAAGTACCTTGATTTCATCACCAAAATTTAGGAGATACAGAATAGATGCTCCCTTAGATCCTCCAGAACTTAGAGAGATTGAATTTGTTACTTTATGGTAATTTGTTATCGTAGCCCTAGGAAACTAATAAATCATGTAACTGGAGGCAATGTGTTCCTAAATGGCTGTAAGTCCGACCACTTACTTCAAATAACACTGTGTCACTAGAGTCTACAAATGATACTTTACTGTCGATGAAGAAAGTTTTAAGAATTGCACCAGAATCGACTTGAAAGAGTGATCAAAAGCAAGGCAGTCTCATCCGTCTAGATCAGGGGTCTTTCAGGCACTGTTATTCTGGTGAAACAGAGGTATAAGAACTGTTGACTTGAAATAAAACTGTATCTGTTTATATTCTACAAGAGCCTAGCTAACAATGTGTTTGGTTTTTTGCAGCTTCTCACAATCCCCACACTTGTAATGTTAACTCTTTGTTGCCATTAGGCAAAGTGCTTCATATAATTCTTAAATTAAGAGTCTATTCGGCTCTACAGTTCTACCATGTAGTCTTTGTCCAACCAGACTACCACCTATCTTTTTCTTGCTTGTTTTTTGCAGCCGACCTAAATTATCTCCCTGTAGCAGAGCCTTACCCTCTCTCCTTCTAATGTGCTGCTTTTAATCTGCTTTTAATCTGTTTTGAAGAACCAGATGAATTTGTCAGAACTGTACTTAAAATAAGAGTAAATATACAAAGAGTGGGCATAAAATACATGTGCTTAAAAGGATGACCTGTGAAAGTTATAGGTATTCTTAGCTGTCTCAATTCAGGAATCAAATACACTCAGAAAAGGCAGCAATCCTTCCTAATCAAACAGATGTATGTAAGTAAGGAACATTTATAGTTGATGGGCGAGAAGCCTCTGGTTTTCCTGCCTAGCTCTTGCCAATATACTATAATGTGACAGTCATTTAAAGGGAATACTTTAAATAACTTATTAGCCTAATTGGGCAAATAAGACTAATAATAACCTAACCACTTAGGAAATATAATCCAAGTGTGTCTGATTCTGGTTTCCACAGCTGAAATGGAGCTAAGAGCCTGGAATGTGATAGAGAAGAAAATCTTTTGTCAGTCAATCATTCACCTTGGAAAATGTCTTAATATACTTTGACTATTTCCATGTCTTAATCAGATATCAATGCTATATTATGTAAAGGACTGTAAATATCCAGTTAAAAGACAAAAGTATTATTGTATGAAATCATCTTTAAAATTTGAAATAAACTTCTGCCAACAATGAGATCACAAACATATAAATGCTCTATTCATTTATCCTGCTCAATCTATATACCCACGTCAACTCCAAGATCTAGAAGGTACTTGACTATGCTGATCATCCCGCTGGAGGCTGCTGCATGAAGAGGTGTGTAAGACTTCTTATCTTTACATGTCACTTCAGCTCCATGTGCCACAAGTAATTTCACTACTTCAATGTGACCTGAAAATGTGTTTATGAAGAAAGAAATAAGCAGATGAGCATAAGGAAAATATGAAACATAATCCTGAATATCTTCAAAGAAAGGTAAAATGCAAATTAATCATATAATGCATGATAAGTCACCCCAAAATCACATTATAACTAGAGGATGGAAGAAGAAATAAAAATTTTGGATCATTTTGATAAATGTTGATAGAGGCAACTAATAATTGAAAACAATACATTTAATTATTTTATCCAATGATAACCCGGCAGTCTATAATCAACAAGCGTAGATCTTGTTTTCAAGGTTGTTTTAATACATTCTCAAGTTCTGAAGTTAGCTTTTTTATGTCTAACGTAAGACACTAATTTATGTTTCTCTGCCTTACTGGAATCTTCTACTTGAAAATCTGGAAAATGATTTCAGCTTGTTTCTTCAAAAATGTTAGGTCTTTAGAACATGTAGCTAAAAACCTCTTCTCCCCTTCTATTTCCATCAGTTGTCCTAAACCAACTTAGTCTGCTATTCACCCTTGCATAATCAGGATAAACTAGGTTGTATGTGCTAAGGTTAACAACTCCCCAGTCTCAGTGGCTTAAATTATTAGTGTTTAATTTCTCACTAACACTATGATAGCTCGGCAAGAGGGCTCTTCTCAGTCACTCTAGGCCCCAGGCTTATGCAGCTGACACCATCTTGAATGTGGCCAGTCACTATACTGGGAATAGACTGCAGAGGCTCACAAGAGCAATTAAACATGCTAGCCCAGAAGTGATGGCTGCTTTCAATTCTTTAGTGAACTAGTCTCAGACCTCACTGAACCACACAAAGAAGCCAGGAAGGGGGACATGTATCTGGAAGGTGAGAGAACCACTTTTCTCCATTGTACCTCCTAGCTCTTTATATCAGATTATAAAGTGCTTTCTCCTCCTCTTATTATCTTTCCTACTTCCGCCTTTGTTCACAGGCTAATGTTCTCCTTAGATGTTTCCTTCCAGTCTGTGCAATCACTGAAGACCCATGTCCATTCCTATCTTCTCTTACCAACCCAGTCACCTCTTCCCTAGAAGCCATAGAAGCCAAAAGCACCATGTACCTATAAATATAATCTAATAAGCATATATAATGTGATGTTTCTTAAACTTCAACCATTATTTAACTAACTCTTTAATTACTTTTATGTATTGGTTCCCAAAAATATGTATCTTCAAAGGCAAAATAGCACATGCTCTTATGTTCTACCTCTTGGTATATTCCATAAGGTCAAGAACAGTGTTATATACAATAAAGGCATGCAACAAATATTTGTAACAGTAAATAAATTGCTCATGAAGCCATTAAAAACAAAACAAAGTAACTATCCATTCACAGGGAATGAGTATATAAAGTTAATTATAAAAATGAGGCTTTCAAACACAGGCTCCCCTCCCTTGACAAAATTAAGCTAGGATACCATAAAATGCATAAAGAATCAAGTAGATATAGTTACTTATATGTAAATTATCAATTAAAGTGCATAATTTCAGCTATTTTTTCCCCATCTCAATATGAAAAATATCTATTACATTTTTAGGAAAAAAAACAAAAGAATGCTTATTAAATCATTAGGTCCCAAATTAAATGTGACTACCATGTAAGAGTATTAGCTGGTACAAAAGATCCCTCACTACACTTACTCAGTGACTATGGCTCTATAAAGATAGTTACTTGGGCTTACATTTAAAAACACCCAGGAAGCTCACAGATAAATACAGCTTTTTTAACTGGGCAAATGCATATTATTCACTAACATGCAAAAAGAAACTAAGTTCTTTAAATGGTTAAGACTAGACAGCCCTTTTTGCAAACCTACTGGAAAAGCTATTCAAAACCAACACATCATTCTAAGTGAATGATGCAGATCAAATTAGTTATACACACAAAACTAACAGATTCCAAGAAGCATGACACTGGGTTCCTAATATCAAAAGATTCTATTTTAAAAAGGGGGTATGAATAGACAAATTTACATTAAAAAAATTTTGACAAGTACTTTAGTACATTTGAGAAATATGGATAAATTCCTTTAATGGACCACTGAAAACATGAAAAAGGGGCCTTTCCACAGCAAGTTTGGGGGTGACTGAAAGGAAAAAAAGGGAAGAAAATTCTAGAGTGAGAGAAATTATATTGGTCTAGCTTGGTGGACCCTACCTGGAACAAGTATGGGTCTTCCTTGCTGATTTACAGAATGATGCTACCAAGGGAACTAGATTTCATTTAATTCACCTAGGGGTATTTTTAGAAAATGGCACCCATTCGAGTGCATCGTATACATAATTCGGTAGTCAACAACAAAATCCATTAAAAACATTTTATCTATGTAATGTGAACTTGATAAATGTACTCACTATCCTTCATGAATCTGGAGGTTCATGAATGTGTACGACAAATGAAATGAACTATGTTTAGAATTTTTAAGTTATACGGAAAGGAAAGGAAGGAGAAAAAATATTATTTGGTATCCACTCATTATGCAGTGCTTCAAGAGGAAATAATGTAATGAGTTGCTAATCAAGGTAATTAATATTTACTTAGTACCTTCTATGTTTAAGTCATCATGGTAAGGTAACAAGAGGTAGAAGGTAGCTGGATATTGCTAAAAGTACTGAAGCAATGGAAAAGATGAATGTATAAAAGGGATCTTAGTATAGGTCATGGTTGGAGCAAATATGGAGTAGGAAGGGGGAAATGATCAATTCATTTGGAGATACAGGTGGCCCTGGGGAACACTGACAGGAGAATTCAATAACAGCATAAGGAATAGGAGGTAGAGTGTACCAGAAAAGTAAGGGGAGCCTCAACCAGAGGACAGAAGGCCAAGGAACATACGGAAGCCTGTGAGAAATAAGTTTTAAGACAACTACATGTGATCCTAGTCTCTTACACTAACACTGAGAGATTCTCTGAATATAACTAGAGGTGACAAGGACCTGGATGGACTTCAGGCATGGCTATTAGACTAGTTAAGAGCTCTCTACTTTCCATGTTTAGCTCTCTTTAATCCCAAATGCCTAGAAAAGCTGAATAGTTTTAGAAGCTATGTGTCAATACTCTTTTCTCAAACTTAAAGAAAGAGAAAGGGAGAGAATTACGACTCTCTGAATGTTTATGATCAAAAACTAAATGGACATATAAGGTCCAAGAAATACACAGTATCTTTTCAATCTACAATTGGCCTGAAAAGTGACTTCTAGTGGATCAAGGAAAACAAGCCATCAGAGGGCCCTGAGATAAACACACCCAGCTTTTCTGGGATCCCAATTAGATGCAAGTCACAAAATCTGCTGGCCTTCAATTTCATGAGAACAGCTATTTAGCCAAGTCTAAAATAAATCTTTGGAAGTAAAGGGTCTGAAAAACTCTGCTTAACGTAGGCCCTTAAGTATACGGTGTAGAGTTTTGAATCATGCAGATTAGTTGTTCCTAAACTGTCTGGAAGAATAAACTATAGCAGAATGTTCGGAAAAGTCCCCAAGACTTAAACTTTGGAAATCTATAGGCTGTGAGGAGGGACTCTGGGGTGCCCAGGGGACTTACTTCTGGATGTTTTACCTTCAATTAAGAGGAGAAAATTCCCCATGATATAAATACAGGGACAAATCTTTGGTGTGAGGTAAACACCAAAAGCCCAAGATTTTTAGCTTTCCTCTTTCAAAATGGGGATATTTGACAAGGATGTTAACCTTCAGGAACCTTCATTTTTGATCTTCCTTTACACCCATTAAAGGTTATACGGATTCCACTGCTTTTTGTTATTTCTACTGTAGGCAAAGGACTTTTCTGGACCTTGAGGTTATCGATAACTGGTTTGAGTTTCCTGTTTTATAGTTTTTATATAGTTTTTACAATTAATAATCTCCCATCAAATCTTCTTTTAATCTTTTAAATGGGAGCTAGGAAAAGACAAACCAAGAGCCGGAAAAGTAATGAGGATAAACTGTGCCTATAGGAAGGGTGGCTTGTAGATGTCTCTGTAGCTGGGCAGTATGAATAGTCAATCAGAGAATGAAACCAGTATTGCAGAAGTTATGTCCCTCCTTATGTGATTTTTCCTAAGCCATAGGAGTCAAAATAGCAGAAGCAAAATTATGACTTTTGGCAGGAAGAGATAAATCCTTGAGCTCTATGGCTGCAAAGGAATGAATTATTTGTTTTGTTTTAAGAAACTGGAAAAACGAATGCCTGAATCCACTGCTTCCTCCCAGAGGTACAGTCCCAGCCTTGTGGGATTTGCAAGGATTGTGCAGACTGTACTTCCTCCATGCTTAGAGATCTACTTCCACCTGCATGGCCTTAGCACCAACAAGTCACACTTCTGCTCTGTATTTCTGTGCACTATTATCAGTAGTCTGAGGAAGGCTGATATGCTCACTCCCAGCCATCTGGTCACCTCGAGCAACAGCTGCTGTGTTTCTTGGTGCCTTGGTCACAGGCTGCACAGGCCTGGAGTGGGTGCGTGGCTGGGTGGGAGGGCCAGGAGCACTTCCCCATGATCCTGTTAGCTTTACTGTGCAATTTTCCAGGACCAAAGGTTTTCAACACATTTACTGTGTCACAGTGGAAAAGCCTATACTCTAAGACTCAGTTTCTTTCTGTGAAATTACTGTTGTAGAAATCAAACACAGTGATGCTTATTTAACCCACTGATTGGCCCAAAATAATAGGCTTCTTAATGCATCTTCATAACTTCTACTTTAACATTCCCATAAAAACAAGGATGGGCATGAGAACACACTTTTAGTAAACACCACTGTAAATCATGTATCCCAGGCTTGTGTATAGGATGTCTGTCTCTTTAAAGGTGAATGGACTTAAGTTCAAACAGCTTTTAGGAGAACTAGACCCAATCCACTCCTGTTCTGGTGAACAGCCCCTACTACCAAGCTGGTTCCACTTGAGCAGCAAGCTCAGATATGGCACGTAACTTCTCACTATCCTGACAGACAGATGTTATACCAAATGCAGGAACTAAAATGCACAACTTTTCCTAAATATGTAATGTCAAAAAATAAATTTAAAGAATACATACCCATATATGCTGCCCAGTGGATAGCACGTCTATCTTTTTTATCAAAAGCATTAATATTGGCACCTCTAGACAAGAGTAACTTTACCATCTGGAAAAAAACCCATAATTTCATCAAAATTCGGAAGTAGAACTGTTCAAGAATATGACTTGTGATGACTACTTGTCTCAATTTCTCTGACACAGTTTCTGCATTTGTAGAAAGGAAGGAGTTAGGCTAAATACTGAAGACCCTTTAACACAATTTAGTAAGTCACAGGAACAATATGAAAAAAGGGTTCACTGTGGGTGTTGCTAAAGTCAGGCATCAGTATCTTTTAAAGATACAACTTAATGTCCTGGTATTTTATGAACAAAGTACAAATCTGAAAAGCTTAAAGGTAAAATATTTAACAACAGATTTTATTCCTTTTTATAACCCAAAGTGTTATTAAAATGCAAACTACTTTTCATCCCAGAAATGTCTTAAATTTAATTCAAACACAAATGTCCTATCCAGTATATCATTAGGACCTAGCGGTCACCGCACAGCCAACTTACCTCCTAACGCACCAAGAACATTTCTATTATGTCTAACCGTATTTATAACAGTTTCCCACTGGAAAGAGCATTTCAGATTTCAAAAAGGGACACATCTTGTGACCGTAGCTGCAGTGGAGGTACAGATTCTTTACACTGCAGCGCAGAGCACAGTGAGAACTGCATGGCAGCCACTGGCTCACAGCCACGGGACCCTGGGAACGTCACCTTACCTCTGAGTTTCTGTGTCTCCAACAGAAATGGAGTGGATAAGCCGGCCTCAAAGGTTCTTCTAACTATGGCTCCTTCTTTCCGAGTCTTCTATGTACACATAAACCCCACTCTTTGTACGACAACTCCTAACATTAGGCAATGCTTGTGTGTAAGGTAACTAAATAATAATTTTCTTAAACTGTTTTCTTTCAATCGTCTGTCGCTGAAGAATTCCTGACTAAATGTTGATTATAAACTATAAGAAGATATTTTTAAACTCAGCCTTCCATTGCTACTACCTTCCTGGCAACACAATGAAACTGTTGTCTTCCTGGACTATTTTCTCCACAGTGACAGAACGTACTTTTTACATTGTGCCTAGCTGGCAGTGTTCTCCCTTGTCTCCCCAGGTTGACTATGAAATTCAAATGCATGGGCTTCATCTGATAGATACATTTCTAAATTTGAGAAAATTCTATTGTGAAGTATCATGAAAAGAAGTCTGAGGGTTTTCTAAGGTACAATTAGACAAAAATCAGTAAGACAAATTTCTGTTTGCTTTTGCCACGGACTGATGAATGGCTAAAGAAGGCAAGTTCATGGATATTGGGGGACAAGGGGTGGTAGGACACAATGAGAGAATCACTGTTTAGTTGAATACCACCTACCTCACCATGTCCACTGAAAGCGGCATGATGTAATGCAGTTCTCCCTGCTCGATCGGACACGTTTACATTACTCAGAAGAGGCACCAAAGCTTCAGCGCACTTTACAGCTTTATTAGCAGCAGCTATGTGTAAAGGGGTTTGCCAGTTTTTGTCTCGAGCATTAACATCTGCAGAATGCTTCAAAAGTACCTGAACTGCTTCCTAAAACATGTAATAAGTTATAAAAGACAAATTAGTTAACAGATTTAGAAATTTTACATATATGAAGGAAATAGTATTTCCTGAGAAAATAATAACAGTTCTCCTAGAACCTGCTATAAACAAGTAGGAATATACCCAAGGAAACAAAATATTATGAACAAGGGCAGTACTCAGACATTATAAGATGCACCAAGATAAAATATTCCCCTTTTCTATCCTCCAATGAAAGCTTAATAATCTCTATTAAAATGTGCAAGAAGAAATACTGACATTCTTCAAAAACATTACTTTTTTTCCAGATGGTGTGAAACATAATTCATACTTTCAACAGTTTTAAGAAGTTAGATTTATCACTTTGCTATTAAACATATAAAAACGTAAAACACAGTATTTCCCAAAGTATTATACATGCTGTATTTTACAAAATGAACACTCATTAAGCTCCAGTTAGAGAATGAAGAAGGAGAGGGTGGATACAAAATCTCTGCAGTGATGCTTTGGGAAAGTTGATTTTAACAGGGAAGTTTAACTGCACAAGAAAAACCTCACAATACATCTACAAATTGGAATCATTACAAGAGCCTAAAGAATCAAGTATGGCATCGGCTTTAAGCAATATACTCAAAACTAAACTTAGCAAAACGTTTTTCCTTTTACTGGCACTCCTACCTTTGGTGGAGGAATGACAAACTACCTGTGAAAAGGATCAGAACCAGAACAGAATCCTTTCAGCTTTGTCAAGGTGTAAGTATTTAAGTCTAGTAAAACTGATCCTCAGTTTTCTTATCTGTAAAGAGAGGAAATACCCTCTGTTCACCACTCTAAGGTGTCCTCTAAAGTAAAAATCCTGATGTACATAAAGTGTTTGAAAGCACAACTATAAATACACGAAGTAGCAAGGAAGACTAAACAAAATACTATATGATTCACAACTAGCTTCTTAAGCTTTTCAAACAAAAAGTAATCAGAATTGTCTGAAACATGGAAAACAGCACAAGTATTGAACAGGGTGGGTGAAAGACTGGAGATATGCCCAGAAATCTATCAACCTAAGGAAATCGGCCAGCTAATCAAAGATATGTATGGAGACCTACCCTATGACCCTACAGTTTTACCCAGTTATGCTATGTATGTCCTTGGGAGAAGGGAGTTATTCCAATCATTTCCTGGTATCTCAAAAACATAAACCAAAAGCTACCTCAAATTCTGCTTTCTACATACCTTTCTGTGGCTATGTTTTCTATTAAGGGAATAAAGTACAGCTCTCTGTTGCCCTCGGGATGTAATGGAAATAACCAAAAGAACACTGGTGAAATTGATAGTCCTGACTAGGTTTTCCAGCAGTTTTGCTAATTGTTAGTTGTTTCTATTTTCAAGAGAAAAATGGTCCTCACAGTTCACAGAAGATGGTCAGATTTTATAGCTGTTTCCCATAATACTGAAAAAGAGTAAAAATACTACATGGCCCAGTAAGTTTTAGGCAGAAAACAGACTTAAGAAACTTACTACATTCTAACCTACAAATTGCCCTGAAGTTCAGGCTAAGTATGTAGTCTTTAAAAATCAGTAGTCAAGTCTCTGAGTGGAACCTGCAATCTTCCTCTAACCTGAATCATTTTCTTAAAAATTTTTTGGTCTCTCCAAATACACAGAGTTCTTTTTGATGATTTAATTTGGCAAAACTCCACTAATTTTTTTGGTATCATTAATATACAATCACATGAGCAACATTCTGGTTACTAGATTCCTCCCATTATCAAGTCCCCACCACATACCCCATTATAGTCACTGTCCATCAGCTTAGTAGGATGCTATTGAGTCACTACTTGTCTTCTCTGTGCTATACTGCCTTCCCCGAGCCCTCCCCCCACGTTGTGTGCTAATTGTCATTTACAAATATATTCTCCCATACTGTAGGATGCCTTTTTGTTCTGCTGATGGTGTCCTTTGTTGTACAGAAGCTTTTTAGCATGATGTAGTCCCGGTTGTTCATTTTTTATTTTGTTTCCCTTGCCTGAGGAGATGAGTTCAGGAAAAAGTTGCTCATGTTTATAGTCAAGAGATTTTTGCCTATATTTTCTTCTAAGAGTTTTATGTTTTCATGACTTGTATTCAGGTCTTTGACCCATTTTGAGTCTACTTTTGTGTATGGGGTTAGACAATAATCCTCTTGCATGTAGCTGTCCAGTTTTGCCAACACCGATTGCTGAAGAGGCTGTCATTTCCCCATTGTATATCCATGGCTCCTTTATCATATATTACTTGACTATATATGCTTGTGTTTATAACTGGGCTCTCTAGTCTGTTTCATTGGTCTATGGGTCTGCTCTTGTGCCAGTACCAAATTGTCTGGATTACTGTGGCTTTGTAGTAGAGCTTGAAGTTGGGAAGCCTAACCCCCTGCCCTTTATTCTTCCTACTCAGGATTGCTTTGGCTATTTGGTGTCTTTGTGGTGCCATATGAACTTTAGAACTGTTTGCTTTAGTTGGTTGAAGAATGCTGTTGGTATTTTGATAGGGATTGCATTGAATCTGTAGATTGCTTTACGCAAGATGGCCATTTTGACAATATTAATTCTTCCTATCCATGAGCGTGGGATGTGTTTCCATTTATTGGTATCTTTATTAATTTCTCTCATGAATGTCTTGTAGTTTTCAGAGTATAGGTCTTTCATTTCCTTCATTAGGTTTATTCCTAGGTATAAAACTCCACTAATTTTAACAGTCATCCTCCCAACAATCATACCAAAAAATGAATAGGTATGACTGACTAGGTTCCAATGATGATAATGTTTATCTTTCTTAATTGCTTTTATTTAACAAAACTTCTTTACAAGAAGACTAATCATAAACTTAACATTACCATGGAATTCACAGTTAAAAATATTTTGGTAAATATGTCTTGGTTTTGCATAACTCCAGATTTGCCCAAGATCACACAGCTACAAGTGATCTCTGAAGCCAGTTCTCCAATCCAAGTTCCATAGTTCATCAGCTAAAGTACACCAGGGTCCTGGTCCAAGTTAAGATGTGTGCTTAAGTGCACCCACTATTGCATCCCTCCTTCCAGGCAGGAGACACAGGTCTACCTCAGAGGTACTGTAGGTCTCGTTTCAGATGCTGCAAAAAAGTGAGTATCACAATACAGCAAGTCAAACAAATTTTTTGTTTTCCCAGTGCATATAAAAATTGTGTTTACACTACACTGTAGTCTCTTAAGTGTATAACAGCATTATGTCTAAAAAAAGCATTTACCTTAATTCAAAATACTTTATTGCTAAAAAATGCTGACCATCATCTGAGCTTTCAGGGAGTCAATCTTTTGCTGGAGGAGGGCCTTGTCTCATTGTGGATGGCAGCTGATTCATCAGGATGGTGGTTGCTGAAGGTTGGGTGGTTGTAGCAGTTTCTTAAGACAAGAAAGAAGTTTGCCACATGAAATGACTCTGCCTTTCATGAACAATTTCTCTATAGCATATGGTGTTGTTTGATAGCATTTTACCGACAGTGCAACTCTTTCAAAATTGGAGTCAATCCTCACAAACCCTGCTGCTGCTTTGCTACCTAAGTTTATGTAATATTCAAATCCTTTGTTGTCATTTCCACAATCTTCATTCGGAGCAGATTCCATCTCAAGAAACCACTTTCTTTGCTTATCTGTTAAGAAGCAACTCCTCATCCATTAAAGTTTCATCATGAGATACAGCAATTCAGTTCCCTGTTCAGGCTCCACTCTAATTCTAGTTCTCTTGCTATTTGTACCACAACCTGCAGTTACTTCTTTGGAAGTCTTGAACTTCTCAATGTTCTCCAAGTGAGCTGGAATCAGATGATTCCAAACTCTTGTTAATGTTGATATTTTAACCTCTGGCCATGAATCACCCATGTTCTTAATGTCACCTAGAAGTCCTTTCCAAAAGGTTTCCTATTTACTTTGCCCAGATCCATCAGAGGAATTATATATAATCTGTGGTAGCTGCAGCCTTACGAAATGTATTTCTGCAATACTAAGACTTGAAAGTCAAAATGACTCCTCGATCCATGGGCTGCAGGATGGATGTTGTGTTAGGCATGAAAACGACATGAATCTTGTGCATCTCCATCAGAGCTCTTGGGTGACCAGCTGCATTGTCAACAAGCAGGAATATTGTGAAAGGAATCCTTTTTTCTGCACAGTGGGGCTTAAAATATTCAGTAAATCATGTTGTAAACAGATGTGCTGTCATCCAGACTTTGTTGTTTCATTTATAGAGCACAGGCAGAGGAGAATTAAGCATAATTCTTAAGGGCCCTAGGATTTTCAGAATGGGCAATGAGCAATGGATTCAACTTAAAGTCTCTACCTGCATTAGCTGCTAACAAGAAAGTCAGCTGTCCTTTGAAGCTTTCAAGCCAGGCACTGACTTCTCTTTAGCTATGAAAGTCCTAGATGGCATCTTCTTCCAACAGAAGGCTATTCCATAACACTGAAAATCTGTTGCTGAGTGTAGCCACCTTCATGCGTTACCTTAGCTGATCTTCTGTGTAAGTTGCTGCAGCTTCTATACAAGCACTTGTTGCTTCACCTGCACTTTTCTGTTATGAACACAGCTTTTTTCCTTAAACCTTATGAATCCTTCTGCTAGCTTCAGATTATTCTTCTGTATCTTCTTCCCCTCTCTCAGCCTTCACAGAATTGAAGAGAGTTAGGACTTTGCTGTGGATTATGTTTTGTCTTAAGGTAATGTTGTGGCTGGTTTGACCTAGGCCACTAAAACTCTCCCCATATCCATAATTAGGATATTCTGATTTATCATTTCATGTGTTCATGGGGCATTCATGTATTTGTTAAATTTCTTTAAGTGCCTTTTCTTTGCATTCAAAGCCTGGCTAACTGAGTCTGGAATAAGAGGCCTACCTTTTGGACTATCTCTGCCTTTGACCTGCTTTCCTTACTAAGCTTTTAATCATCTCTAACTTTTGATTTAAAATGACAGATGTGGGGAAGTTGGGGTTGCTAT